TAATTTTAGACTCAACACTTTCCTTCTTCTCTTTGATTCTTTCATTGTCTCTTCTTATAATTCTTTGATTAATTGATTTTCAAATCAAATTGAATATTGGGTAAATCTATACCTAAATAAATTTATTTACAATATATAATTTCATTTATAAGATTGAATATTGGGTAAATCTATACCTAAATAAATTTATTTACAATATATAATTTCATTTATAAGATGCGAAATTTTTGTTTTGTTTTCACTTTGTAAATTTATACCTAAATAAATTTTTGAATAATATGTTCGGTTCTTCTATATTTTGTTAAAAATATCATGTTGGTAGTATTTTTAGAGTTTTTATTAGTGAACATTTAATTTTGACATTTTCAATCTAAAGAACCGGACCGAACCGAATCGAAACCGATTGGTTTGGTTCCGGTTCGATTCCACAGTTAGCTATGGAACCAATGATTCCATTTCTAAAATTTTCCATTGGTATTCAATTCGATTCGATTTCCTTTGGAATCGGACCAAACCGGACCGCGCCCACTCCTAGCCAAGGGGCCACCTCGACAGGTGGCCCACACACATAGGGGTGTGAGGTGGACCACCCGCCAAGGTGGCACACTCTAATAGGGTAGTCACAACGCCACATGTTGTAATCGCTCCATTAAAGTTTCTCTCGTTAGAACATCAATCTAAATGATCAAACTTGATGTATACTTTTAAATGAATTATGTGACATTATATTTAAGCGAATTTATCATTTAATGCTATGCAATTGCCACTTAAGTTGATACTTGACATCAGTGGTGTTAAATGACATTCCTCGAAAAGAAAAGAAGCGTGTCTAGTTGCCTTTTTAAGTTACTTATTTTGTCAAAATTACTTTTTTCACTAACAAAACTTCCTAGAAAGTAACTTTTAAATACAATCAAACACTAAGTTTTTAAAGAACAAAACAAAACGCCAGCAGTCCAGGTTGGCACCAATATCCTAGTTCATAACAGAAACGGACTTCCAACTCTATGGGACTGGAGTTCTTATTAGTTGTAACCTGTGTCAAGAAAGGGGAAATACAGCTCAGTTAAATAAAAAACAAAAAGTCTACATTAATTTTCACTTTTTAAGTTTGAGACCCTAATTGGTATATATACTTGCAGATATCAAATTTCTAGTGACATGACATGGAGAAGACCAACCCAGAAAATAAAGCGTAACTGCAGTGTGAACTCCAAAGAAAAAAAGAACACCAGCATTCAAGTTAAAATATAACATGCTCGTCATAAATAGAAAGTATGAGTTTGAAAACCGTAAATATAAGAAGGGTGGGACTCCAACTCCTTAATAGAATTCTTTCAATAAGAAAACATGGCATTTGACCTCATCGCGACATGAACTCGTATAAACCATCAAACTCGGGAATCTCGCTGAGCTAATTCCTATATGTGAAGGTAGAAGTCACTTGACCAGAACAACATTTATAATATTCATCAAGGATTGAGAGAGAGAGAGAGAGAGAGGGAGGGGGGGGGGGGGGGGGGTTGGGT